TCTAACTGGAAATGCATAGTAGTGAGGAATACAATACAGTATGGTTTTATATCTACCTGTATATACATTATTAGAACTGATTTGTGCTTAGGTCCAGAACTTTTACCCACCATTGCTTTTGTACCATTAGTGAAAATATTAACACAGTTGGCCCAGGATAAATGAGCAGAGGAATTTTCAAAACCTTGACTATACCACTTTTATTTCTCAGGCATTCACATAAAAGAATATCTTCTTGAATGATTAGTTGGTACTGACACCAGGTGAATACAGACAAAATTAGTACTGCTACATCAGATTCATTCATGTTTTCAGTTAAATTTTTAAATCAGTAAATGTCTGTATTATTGGAAATTGGCAATGCCATAATTTCTTTTATGGACTTTACATCTAGCAGGCATTTTTTCAGCAATGTCAACCACATAAGGCTTTCCTGGCCTCTCAGCTATTGTGGGTACTTTACCAGTCAATGCAGTATAATAATAGCCTGTGAAATGCTTGAATGGCTTTTTAATTTCCACCATGGAAAGTTATAAAAATAGTTTTTGGTATTTAAAGTTATCAGCACACCTGCATTTAAAATTTCAATTCCTTTTGCTTTACATTCTGAATAATTAGTTTCAAATAATGCTTGGACTATAATGCTACTCAAAAATGTTTTGTGGCAGAAGACACAATAAGGCAAATTATTTGCATTTATAAAATCCATTGAAAGATTGTTTTTTAATCCTCACCTGAGGATATGCTTTCATTCATTGAGAGAGAGAGAGAGAGAGAGAGAGAGAGAGAAAGAGAGAGAGAGAGAGAGAGAGAGACGCACACACGCCTCGCTTCCTCAACTTACCAGTTTAGACTTGGCGCGTTGCAAAAATTCTTCCATATCGTTGTGAGGTTTGGACCAAGAAACATCAATTGGTTGCCTCCTACACACTGCTTGACAGGGGATTGAACCTCAACCTAAGTATGTGCCCTGACAGGGAACCAAACCCTCAAGAACAGGATGAATCTCTAACCAACTGAGCTATCCAGACAAGACCAAAAATAGTTTTTATGACATTTTATTTGAGAAAACAAGAAAACAATTTCACCCAGTTCCTTTGAGGGAGTTTCTTTGTTGAGTCAGAGAATTCTAATACTTTCATCTTTCTCAGCACCTTAGAAGTAAACAGGGATCCTGTGTGTTGAGAAAGATATACTTTTATTGTGCTAAAATATACAAAACATAAAATTTACCACTTTAACTGTTTTAAGTGTTCAGTTCAGTGGCATTAAGTACATTCACATTGTTGTGCAACCATCACAACTGTCCATCTCCAGAACATTTTCATCATCCCATACTGAAACTCTGTATCCACTAAACAATAACTCCATATTCCTAAGTAATAAATTCTTATATATGAAAAATTTTTCTTTAAGAGTAAAGGATGATTAATATGTAAAATAGTTCAATATCAAATTAAGATTTTTAAAAGTTTTTGGAAAAAATTCTTTTAAAACCACAGTACCCATTCTCGTTGTGTTTCCATGTGAGTTACAAGGAAAATTTCAAAATACAACTCAACAATAAATAAATAAATAAACAATTTAAAGGTGGTAGAAGCTATGAAAACGTTCTTCACAAAGAATATAGAAAAATGGTCAATAAGCACAATATCATTAGTCGTCGAGGAAATGCAGATTAAAATCAAAATGATATACTACACATCCACCAGCATGGCTAAAAATAAAAAGATTGACAACCCCAAATGCTAAGGTGTGGAGCAACTGGAACTCCAATACTTTGTTGGAAGTGTTAAATTGGACATCCATTTTGGGGAAAGATCTGATAGTTTCTTATACAGCTGAATTTATACCTACCATATGACCCAGCAATTTCATTCTTAGGTGTTTTTTTTTGTTTTTGTTTTTTGGGGGTTTTTTTTAGTGAACGCATATGTCCACAAAAAGATTTGTATAAGAATGTTCATAGAAATTGTCCATCAACATAAAAATGAATAAATGAACTGTCATATAAACAAACTCACATAATTAGACAATGGAATTAGTGGAACTAGCTGTGCTGGTTTGCCCCGGACTGAGAAGTTTTCTGGGATGTGGGACTTGCAGTGCTAACGCTATGAAACTCTTGAGCAAACCAGCAGTATTGGTACAAAGACCTAACTATCCACCTCAGCAATCCAAAGACCTAACTACTGATACATCCAACAACACGGATGAATTTCAAAATGTTATGCTAAAGGAATGAAACCTATCGAATAGTTCATATTTTATAAGTTCAGTTATAAGAAGTTCTACAGTAGGCAAAACTATTTTATGGTAAAAACAAAATAGTTGGGGGGAGGGGTATATGGAAACTTTGTGAAATGTAGTGTTCTCTATTTTGGTAGAAATTTGGGTTACACAGGTGCACACATTTGTCAAGACTCAAATGGTCAGTTGAGGTTTCTGTCTATTCCGCATTTTAAAGACACCTGTAAACAAATATTGAACTCTAGTTAATGATATGCATACTGAACTGTTAATGGTATGCACACTAGAGTGAGGTATAACTCTTCTTTATTTGTCAAGTATGGAATTTTTTTTAAAAAAAATAGTGTATAAATGTCAGAGATGAAAGAAGGGAGAATTATTTTTTGAGGATTGCTCCTGAATAGAATTGTTTGTTATGACTGTCCATTTAGGAAGGTTTTCTTTAACTTTTTACAACGCTTTCCATGTGGTCCTTATTTTTTGTTTTGTAATTCTGTATTTTGCAGGAAGAATCTTACTTTGTTTTCTAAATCAATAAGCTGCTTTCATTGTTATATGTATGTAATTTGGCTGCAATTTTCTTTATTAATTGCTTTGGTATTACTGATTCTTTGCTCTTTCTCACAATCTTTTTTTAAAAAATTTTATAGCATTTACATGTATAAGCAGACTCTCTCCATATTATAAGATGTCTTTCTTAAAGCACTGACTATGTAAATGTATTTATGGTTATTTTAAGAATGGTAATGCTTAGAACATTCTAACTTTTCTTGCTACCTAGCTTGTCTTTAATAATATAGTACTTTAAAATTTAGACCTGGATCGGTTTTAGGTTAGCTCTTTTATTACAACTTTTTTTTTTTGGATTCACAAGAATAAAATGTACATTGCAAAAAATTTTATCCTTTATTTTTTAAAAATGTAATATTGCTAGGGTTTTATTTCTTTTCACACATACTTTTTGGTATGGTAGTGGGTTAGCTTAGAGAAGGTACTCAGTTACTATCCCAACATCTTTTAAGATATCTTCCATCTTTTAGTTCTCTTTCTTCTTATATACCTCTAAAATGTAATGTTCTTTAAGGAAGTCATTTATAATGGTTCTCAATCCTACCAAACCGAGTGCAATCCTACCAAATCTTCTAATCACATTTTTTAAAAATATGTTTTTATTGATTTCAGAGAGGAAGGGAAAGACAGATAGAAACATCAATGATGAGAGAGAATCATTGATCTGCTGCCTCCTTCATGCATGTGCCCTTGGCTAGAATCGAACCCGGGACCCTTCAGTCCCCAGGTCAACGCACTATCCATTGAGCCAAACCACCCAGAGCTCTAATCACATTTTTAATATCCTGTTTCTATCCTGAAATTAAGATTATTTAACCTACCTACACACATAACTTCAAAAATTCAATGTAATTAAACATAATTGTAATAGAAAGAGGAAATATAAGCAATTAACAAATATTTCAATATGAAAATTTGGGGGCATAGTGTAGTAAGTACTCAGATGCTTATATCTATGCATAGAAACTGTGCATGGACCACTACAAGCAGACTGTTACAGGTGTGTTGCATTGGTGTCTTATGTAACACAAGCAGTACTGCTGCAGTTTCATAATTTTCTGAAATATTTGACCATTTTTGACAAAGTTCTGAACAAAACACAAATTTCCCTTAATTTACATGATATATGTGTTTCTTGAAATGCTGGTATCTATTTAAATTATACAAACATAAACTTTGTTTATATGTGTAACAGAATTCGGTTTGGGGTCAGGTCATTATAAACAGGCTTTTCATCTTCATGAATGTCGAGGAGGACATTGGAAAGTATGAAAGTCAGAGAAGAATTCTCTAATGTGGAGAACTTTCCTACGAATTGCAAGTCATGTAGCATCCATGGTCCTTGGGCGCTAAATGCCATCATTGCCCCTTAATCATTGTGACAATCAAAACAATATATTAGGTGTTGTTGTTTTTTGCAGTGGATCTCTTTGGCAATTGTGTCACTTTTCAGAATAATGTTTTTAATGCATAAGATAAATAGGATTACAAAATAAACCAACTGTATTGAAATACAAACTCCTGCTTATGATCCCTTCAGTGGTGAATACCACACCCCTTTCAATATGCACACTCCATTTGAGAACCACTAAGTTATAAGGGCTTTCTATATTTGAGGAATCAGTGAACAGTTTCAGTATTATGGATTGTAAAGTACATTTTTTAGTGCCTACATCATCTTATCTTGAACATAACGGTATCAATTGGGATTAACTCAACTAATATAATCTAATAGAATGAAACAAACAGCATAGGAGCTGTATTTATATTCTAAGTTTGTATCTTATTGGAAATTAAGTGTATCAAATGAATTAATGCTTCTATTTCCCATTCTGTTCTCATTATGATTACCTCTCTGATTAATATCAATCATAGCTAGGATCTTTTGCCTACTACTTTATTCATTATTACTTAAGGGAGTGAGGTAACTAGCAGAACAAATCTTTCTCCATGTGCCATTGGACAAGTTGGCAAAGAGCTTATTTGTATTAACAGGGTAGACTAAACACATGTGGTTCTAAGAATAGGAATTGTAAAGCAAATAATAGTTGTTTCAACAGGTGTTCATTCAGTGTTTTCTAGGAGTGCATTGCAAGAAGTGATTAAGCTGAGCAAGTGGATGAGTACCTTGTCATGACAAATGTGCAGAGTATTGTGATGATGATTTTTATTTCTTTTAGGGTATGTCTCTGTGCCAGACTGTTGTCGTAAGCTCTGTAGTCATTCTTCTCTACTCCTCAAGAGCTTGTTATAATTTGGTGGTGATCACCCTATCTCAGGATACATTAGAAAGTCCATTTAATTATGGCTGGTATAATCTCTCAGATAAGGTAAGTATCTACCATGTATTGCTAATCTAACAATATGATAATGGAATTAGCCTTAATAGGAGAATATTTTAAGTGTTTGACTTATAAATACTTTTATGAAATCTCTAGCTGCTATCTAAAAGACTTAAAACTGGGTTTCTTAATATATGTTTTTGTAAATATATCTATTTTTTATTGATTTCAGAGAGGAAGGGAGAGAGAGAAACGTCAATAATGGGAGAGAATCATTGATCAACTGCCTCCTGCACACCCACTACTGGCGATCAAGCCCACAACCCGGGCATGTGCCCTGATGTGGAATCGAACCATGACCTCCTGGTTCATAGGTCGATGCTCAACCCACTGAGACACACTGGTTGGGCTTTTTTTTTAACTTCCTTTTATTTGTTGATATAGTGGGGCCTTGACTTACGAGTGTCCCGACTAACGAGTTTTTAGAGATACGAGCCGTCTCTCGGCCGATTTTTTGCTTTGAGTTGCGGGTAAAATTCGGGTTACCAGCCAGCTTCACATACCCCACCACTAGTTGGCACAGCGAACGTCACAGTGAATGCCACAACATCAGCCCAACATCACGTGTCTCACTTGTTCACTTTAATGATTTGACTTACGAGTAATTTGAGTTACGAGCTCCATCACGGAACGAATTAAACTCATAAGTCAAGGCCCCACTGTATACTGATGCCTCATTTCCCCTACCATGCCTACCTCCACCTATCCCACACACCCCTTCCCTCTGGCCATCACTATACTGTTGTCTGTATCTATGGGTTATGCATATATGTTCTTTGGCTAATCCCTTCACCTTCTTTCATCCAGTCTTCCCTTCCCCACCTCTGACAGTTGTCAATCTGTTCCATGTGAGATCATAAGGTATTTGTCTTTCTGTACTGGCTTATTTCACTTAGCATAATATTCTCCAGGTTCATCCATGCAGCATAGTATTCCATTGTGTAAATGAATCATAGCTTTTTTATCCACTCATCTACTGAGGGCTCTTAGGCTATTTCCAGGTCTTGGCTATTATAAATAACACTGCAATAAATATAGGGGTACATATATATTTTTGAATTGGTGTTTTGGGATTCTAAGGATATATTCCCAGAAATGGAATCACTGGGTTAAAAGGCACTTCCATTTTTAATCTTTTGAAGAAATTCCATACTGTTTCCCATAGTCACTGCACCAGTCTGCATTCTCACAAACAGTACACAAGAGTTCCCTTTTCTCCAGATCCTCTCCAGCACTTGTTTGTTGATTTGTTGGTGATAGCCATTCTGACAGGTGTGAAGTGATATCTCATAGTGGTTTTAATTTGCATCTCTCTGATAATTATTGCCTTTGAGCATTTTTTCAGTCAAAAGGCCTTCCATTTTTAATCTTTTGAAGAAATTCCGTACTGTTTTCCATAGTCACTGCACCAGTCTGCATTCCCACAAACAGTGCACAAGAGTTCCCTTTTCTCCACATCCTCTCCAGCACTTGTTTGTTGATTTGTTGGTGATAGCCATTCTGACAGGTGTGAAGTGATATCTCATAGTGGTTTTAATTTGCATCTCTCTGATAATTATTGACTTTGAGCATTTTTTCATGTGTCTGTTGGCTCTGTCCTCTTTGGAGAAGTGTCTATTCCAGTCCTTTGCCCGTTTTTAAAATTGGATTGTTTGTCTTCCTGTTGTTGAGCTGTATAAGTTCTTTATATATTTTGGAAATTAACCTCTGACCAGATGTATCATTGGCAAATATGTTCTCCCATATAGTGGGTTCTGTTTTCATTTTGTTGATGGTTTCTTTTGCTGTGCAGAAGCTTTTGATATAGTCCCATTTGTTTATTTTCTCCTTAGTTTCCCATCCCCTAGAAGATATGTCAGCAAAAATATTGCTACGAGAGATGTCTGAGTTTTACTGACTATATATTCTTCTAGGATTTTTATGGTTTGTGACTTACATTTAAGTCTTTTATCCATTTTGAGTTTATTCTTATGTATGGTGTAAGTTGGTGATCTTGTTTCATTTTTTCTATGTCCCTATCCAATTTTCCCAACACCATTTATTGAAAAAACTGTGTTTACCATTGTTTGTTCTTGCCTTCTTTGTCAAATATTAATTGATCATAAAGGTATGGGTTTATTTCTGGGCTCTGTTCTTTTCTATCGATCTATATGCCTGTTCTTATGCCAGTACCAGGTTTTTAAATTATTATTACAATGGCCTTGTAGTATAGTTTGATACCAGGTATTGTGTTACCTCCAACTTTATTCTCTCTCAAGATTGCTGAGGCTATTCTAGGTCTCTTTTGGTTTCATATACATTTTTGGAATATTTGTTCTAGATCTGTGAAACATGCCATTGGTATTTTAATAGGAATTGTGTTGAATCTATAGATTGCTTTGGATAGTATGGACACTTTAATGATGTTAATTCTTTCATCCATGAACACGGACTATGCTTCCATTTATTTGTATCTTCCTCAATTTCTTTCTTCAATGTCCTGTAGTTTTCCAAGTACAGGTCTTTTACCTCTTGGTTAAATTTATTCCCAAGTACCTTATTTTTGTTGTTGTTGTAATAGTGAGATTTTTTCTTAGTTTCTTAGTTTCTCTTTCTGATAGTTCATTATTGGTTTATAAAAATGCCACCAATTTTTTAATATTAATTTTGATTCCTGATTCTTTGCAGAATTCATTTATTATATTTAGTAGTTTTTTGGTGGAGTCTTCAAGGTTTTCTATGTGCAATATTAATGTCATCTGCGAAAAATGACAGTTTCATTACCTCCTTTCCAATTTGTGTGCCTTTTATTTCTTCTTCTCGTCTGATTGCTGTGGCTAGGACTTGTAGTACTATGTTGAATTAGAGTTCCTGTCTTGTTGCTCATCGTAAGGGAAACGCTTTTAGTTTTTTCCCGTTGATTATGATGTTGGTTGTAGGTTTGTCATATGGCCTTTATTATGTTGAAGTATGATCCCTCTATTTCCACTTTGCTGAAAGTTTTTATAAAAAATGGGTGCTAGATTTTATGAAATGCTTTTTCTGCATCTATCGATATGATCACATGGTTTTTGTCTTTCAATTTGTTTATGTGATGTATCACATTTATTGATTTAAGAATGTTGTACCAACCTTGAATCCCCAGAATAAATCCCACTTGATCATAATATATGATCTTTTTAATGTATTGCTGAATCCAGTTTGCTAATATTTTGTTGAGGATTTTAGCATCTATGATCATCAGAGATATTGGCCTATAATTTTCTTTCTTTGTAGTGTCTTTTCTGGTTTTGGAATTAGAAATAATCCCGGCCTCATAAAAAGAACCTAGAAGTCTTCCCTTTTCTTGGATTTTTTAGAATAGTTTGAGGATAGGTGTTAGTTCTTCTTTGAATGTTTGTTAAAACTTCCCTGTGAAGCCATTTGGGCCAGGTCTCTTGTTTGCTGGGAGTTTTTATTTTTATTACTGTTTCAATAAAAATCCTCATTTACATATGGCACTTGAAATTATTCTTCAGAGAGAACGTCTCCCGAAGGAGTATTTTCCTTTCTTTTGTAAAAAATACTAATAGTGCCATAAATCTATTGATCATAACCCTATTTTGCAATTTTTTTTAAAAAAAGGATAGTATTTAAATATCTCTAGATAAATTAATTGCCTGTCATTGGCTAGGGAAAACTGGTATTTAATTTATTAGGATAAACTTAATTCTCTTTTACCCAAGCACTACATATAACCTAAATATTTTGTTTATTTTTAGATGTTTAAGTCATTATCTGGCATTATCAGTCTTGGTAATGGAAGATCATTCATAGTTCCTTGGTTGCCTAGGTGTTTGCTATACTAATTCACAGTACTCTAGTTATGCATATTTAAACTCACAGCGTTCTCCAGCTCCTTCCTTAAAGTGCTTTTTGACATACTATATGTCATCTCTATTTATATTAATTTAACTTTGTACTAAATTTAAGGAATTCTAGAATCCCCTTATATCAGAATTCAGTTACCTTTTTTTAAAAAAAATTTAAATTTATTGATTTTAGAGAGGGAGAGAAAAAGAAACATTGATTTGTTGTTCCACTTATGAATTCATTGGTTGCTTTTTGCATGTGCCCTGACCAGGGATCGAACCCTTGGTGTTTTGGGACAATGCTCTAACAAACTGAGCTACCCAGCCAGGGCAGAATATCAGTTACCTTTATACAGAGAAGGAATTTACACATGTAACAGATTCTCTTCACTCCTCTTCCCACTTATCTCTCCCTACATCTAGTAGAGTAGAAACAAATTTAACATGGAGATTAGGCCCAAAAGCATATTTTTAAGTAACAGAAGAGCTGAGCAGTGTACATGTTACATTCTCTAAGTTTTAACTCCAGGTGAGTGCTATTTGCCTATGGAGCAGCTGAAACTGATTGTCTATTTTGTAACCCTTTTCCAACTATAGGGACTGAAAATGAGATCACTCCATATTATCCATGTATTAAAAATATTTTCATAAATCTATAAATTGAAAAAGTTGATAGCTTTTCTTCTATGTAGCATTAATGCATTTTTATATTCTTTAAAGGATAATATGATTACATAAGAAACCACAAACTATGGAAAATTAATTCAGAGTTTTATGTGCTTGTAGTTAATATATTTTAACTTACTCTACCTGAAGCAAGTTAATTGTGGAGAGTGACCGATTATACATAAACTAGATTTCAATATTGCTCTGCCATACTCTATTTACAGGCTCATATGCAAGATGTAAATGGAGAAGAGTATATAGTATTTGGAATGGTCCTCTTTCTGTGGGAACATGTGCCAGCATGGTCGGTGGTACTATTTTTCCGGGCACAGAGATTAAACCAGAATTTGGTAAGATATCATAATATTCCCTAATGCCTGTTCTCCTTACTTTTAAAAATAATGGAACATTTATATTGATTGTCTGTCTATGTTTAGCAAAGTTTAAGACTAAAAAGCATTATAGATTCTAGCCTCCTGTCTTAATTGAAAAGTAAGTCTTCATATGTTATCTAATACTTTTTTCACAGGCACCCGCTGGCATGATAAATAGTCACGGTTATAGTCCCAGAGCTTATTTTTTTGACAATCCAAGACGATATGATAGTGATGATGACCTGCCAAGACTGGGAAGTTCAAGAGAAGGAAGGTAGATGTACTGAATTAGTACTAAAATAGATTTGAAGGAGCAAATCTAAGCTTTAACCCAAATGTGTAGTAGGTGATTTGGTGTTACAAAGCAATAAATAAAATCATTGGATATTGAAGCTTAGAGCAGCAGATGTTAAATCCATGGTGGGACCTGTACTAGAAAGAACTATCATTGAACTCTAAGCCTTTGGGGTAAAATAGTACCAGATCATTTCAGGATCCTTTATTGGTTCAAAGCTGGTGGGCATTGGTGAGCAGGAAAGAAATACTGTTATAGTGATTATATATATATATATATATATTTATTTCCTTATCTATATACTAGTGCTATTCAAAATCCACAGTGAAACCCTAGATAAAACTCTTGGGAACCTTAGATGGCAGGGAAATCATTTGTGACCTCTTTAATTCCAAAATCATTGCAAATCCAAACCATTCACCCGTGTATCAGGGCAAAATGAAAGCCTCAATGCACACTGATATAATGCTTTTAGCTTGCTAGAGCATTTTTTATGATCCTCACTTCATCTGTTTTTTATCCTGTTTTTCATCTGTAACTTAACCCATTTTTTAGCCTGTTTTTCATCTGTAAAATAGGAATAATAGAATCTATAGGGCTGTTATGAAGATTACTGTAAATGAGTATGTGTGCATATATACATAATTCTACATGTGTATGCCAAATGTCTTAGAATAGAACCTAGTACATAATATGTACTTCTAATATTATCTGATAATCAAGTTCTAGTTCTGAGTGGTATTTATTCATTATTTTGTAATATATTATATACAATCAAGGATATTAGGTAAAAATCATTAAATTTTATAGAAAGTCATTATGCTATTTCAATATGTTATAAAATTCATTGAAAACTAAAAATGCCAGTGTGACTTATATACTGATCACAGTCCTGTGGCTTTCTTTGTTGTTGCAGTTTATCAAATTCACAAGGGTTGGGCTGGTATGGCACCATGGCAGGGTGTGGCAGCAACAGTTACACCGTCTCTCCCCACCTGAATGGACCTATGACAGATACTGCTCCTTTGCTCTTTACTTGTAGTAATTTCGATTTGAACAATCACCATAGCTTATATGTAACACCACAAAACTGACAGCATTACCAAGTTGTGATTCTTCAGTTGTTTTTCATGAATGTGTGTATTCAATGCGTTTAAATGCCATCTACATAAACATTCCATTATCTTTTGCAACTGAAAACAACGCCTGGAAATGTGGCTGTGTTCAGCAGAGGACACGGCTATTACTTTGACCTCTTCATAGTACAGTGAAGTTAAATGGAACATTTGGAGTGGAAGAAAAGAGAGATTAGATCTTAAGGCCCTTGATGGTCTCCAAACAACTTGACTGTGGAACATCAAAAGCATATTTGCATATTTGCACTTTTATCTTTGTTCTGAAGAGTACACTGCAGTCCTCAAAGTCATACTCCAGTGTTCACCCTGCGATATTATATTGTACACCAAATCAAGAGGCAATTTTCCTATTAAAATAAACGTCTGTGTATTACATGGTGTACTCTATATGGAATTTTTACCCAATAAAAATTTTACAGTGTGAAAAGTGCACAGAACTAAAGCATAAAAATGTATTATTCTTTTTTTTAAATATACTAAAAAATGTGTAATCATTGAAGATAGTTCTTTTAAGCATGATCATAAAATACCAACTTAAATTATTCAAACAATCTTTTTTTTTAATGATAATAGTAAACCTTTACAGTGATGACCAGCAGTGTTCTTTGGAAAGCCACAGTTATTTCTTCAAGAAGAAAGTACACCAGTGAAAATTATGTGGCTACTTTGAGTAGAAGTAGTCAAGTGATTATTTTGTATGATTAAGATACATGTAGTAGGTTAAGCATGATTCTTCAAGAAAGCAATAGTGGTTTTTGCATAGGGATATTTTAGTAGAAATCTCTCGAGACTAAACAAGTTTACAGATGCATTTAAGAGTTATTCATGAAATATACAATTCTAAGTTAAAACATGAATACATTTGCAAAAGCATTCGATTTAGCTGAAACAAGATTTTACCTGGTTTTACCGGAAAAGCAAGATTGTCCTCAGGTAAATTAAATCATGATACATCATTGCAGTGAACTCAAGTGCAATACTTTGTAAGACATAAGTCCTCCTTTAGTTTTCACATTTTTATATCTTATATGGGCAAAGCCAAATTAAATTTAATTCCAACACTATATAAATAAGCAAACTGATATGAAGGTACTAACTAGGTAAGTATAAAACCAGTGGTTAGCAACATTGGAATACTTTTTGAATTATATTAAAACTGTCTTGAATGTCCTTTCCCAAATCTAAAAAAATATATGGTAGGCTAAGGTAATAGAGAATTTTAAAATGCACTTTCTACCAGTGTTTATATTAAGAGAAGGACTGCTGCATACCTCAAGATGCCAAGGAACAGGCAACATTGGGAAGCTGTCACAGCATACTTTAAGACACCTAACTTTATACAGTTGTCCGCTGATCTGTTTCTTCAGAACTGGAACTAATATGACAACTGTCCTTTTCTGTCTCCTAATTTTATTTGAAAGTTATGTTTTATTTCTACTCTCTCTTAAAAAAGTATAACAGTACGTGAAACCCCCAAGGAATAAATGAAATTTTTAATGCTTTCGGTCTTTTGGGAGACTGGTACACAGCCAAATAAATTTATTCTTTTTATCATACAAGATGACTTTGAATTCAATCAGAAGCATAAATCTATAGTTATGCTACTTTAGGTTCATAAGTTCTCTTATTGTAACCAAATTTTTTACATTTAAAAACCATTATTTTAAAACGTATATTACAGAAGTTAACCTTGGTATTTCCATGACAATAGAGTATGCAGCGCAGTATATTGTGATTAAACTTCAGTTATTAGATTTCTTTTCAGAAAGCCAACTATTAATTTTCCTAATAATGTTAGGTATTTGATTATCTGAAGCTGTATGACAAGATTTGTGTTAACCCTTGGGATTCAAACATAGGACATTTTTTTCTAGTAAGGCTTCCCTAGATAATATTTCTATTTGACCAGATAAGCAAAGATTACTTTTTTTAAAAAAAGTATTTTAGATAAAATACTGTAACTTGGTTCTTTTGATTGCTTTAGTTGATTCCTCCAAATTTGAGATTTATAAATATATTCTTATGACTGACTAGGGTACCTAAATTCTTGCCTTTGTCTCTTTATACACATCTCCCACAATACATCACCAAAGACAAAGAAATACAAGCTTCTGGCCCAATTTTTGCTTGAAAATTCCAAAGCACTAGGAGCACTTTAAGTTTGGTCTTGAAAGGAGTTGTTTATAAAATCAAAGGGCTACCGATTCCTTGTTCATCCTGCACTGAAGCACATGATGACAATTTCAAACCTTCCTCTTGGTTCATTAATTAGAACAATGCATTTCATTGCTTAAGTGTGTAATTCTACAGTGATTAGCAGTACTTGTTGTTATCATTTCATTTGGGTGGCCATTAATTTTGAAACTCTTACCACTCATTATAGCTGGTTGTAGTTTTTATTAAAGATGTAATTTATAGCTAGTAGCTTTTTTATGCATAGCTGCCTTTTTATTGTTTAACAGTGTTTCTCAGCTATATGATCAGTTTCAAACTGGTTGTAAAAGTATAGCTGTGGTCAATGAATGTATTTATTTGTTGTTTCACTAAATTGTAACAAAACACTCCTGTTAAAATAAAAGTGTTTGTGCTTTTATTTGAAGGTCTGGTTTTCTTAATCTCTCTTAATGAACTGTACTAAATGAGTTTCTGTTACATAAGGATAAGAACCCTAGTGCTACCAGAGAGAGAAAAAAGAGGAATTACAATATACTCGGCTAGTGAGCTTGTAATTACTCATACCTGACCATCATGTTCCTTAATATTATACAGTAACTTTGATAACTGCTATACACTGTACTTTAAACGATATAGATAGCACATGTTTATTTAAACACTAAAAATCCTTGTATGAAATAACTTATAACCCCTCCTTTCCCTTATTTTAAACGAGAGGCCCGGTGCACAAAAATTTGTGCACTCACGGGGAGGGGGGGGTCCCTCAGCCCGGCCTGTGCCCTTTTGCAGTCTGGGACCCCTCAGGGGATGACAACCTGCTGGCTTAGGCCTGCTCCCCAGGGGATTGGGCCTAAGATGGCAATCAGACATCCCTCTGGCAGCCCAGGAGCGC